ATGATATATTTCATCAGTGATTTTCTGTACAGAATAGTTAAATCTCTGTTTTTGACATATTCATTCCTTTATTTAGCACCCGCGATTCCATCTGAAGATTATCACCCCGATCAATCTGAAGATATCAACACCCCGATCCATATGAAGTTCATGATCATCCTGACCATCTGGAGGAACAGCCCCGTGATCAATATAGCCTGATTCAAGTCAGAAAAAGAGTCCTAAAAAGGTAGCTTAATTGAAATAGACTAGGCTGTGTAGCTCAGTTTTGTAGAAGAATGATTCTCCTCAATTAACATTTGCATCATATATATAAATGAGCTGGGTCCCCTTAATGAACATTTCAATGATATATAATATATATAATGCACTGGTCCCCTTAATGAACATTTCAAAAGACATATGTAATGCACTGGTCCCCTTAATCAACATTTGTTCTTAAAGCAGATGATATGTTCATAAATGTAACTCAGTGATTTTTCTGTCAAACAGAATCACAGTCTATGGCGCCTCTGTAGTTAATTCGGGCTTCAATTTTCCGGAAAAAATCGCAGTCACTCGGACGAGTTTTATCGCCCGCGGGGCACGTAAAGATACTCAACTTAAAACTTAACATTAATCCGGAAATGTTCATGATGTTTTTCCGGGATGACGGGACGAGGTAATTTGTGTTGAACCAATACTTTCATTTTTCAACTATTCAGTGTGAAGCGTTAATCCAGATGTATGACCCTCGTCAAAAAGAATTTTCACAGCTATTTTAGTTTTCGTTCGGAGCTAATTGACATTGTCAGTCACAATAGTATACGCTAGCAGGTGCTGCTTGAAATTGCGTTTTACTGATTGTTAGATTAATAATCGCCCTATTAGATATAACCGAGATTAAAAGTAGTCATCTTGCCAATTAATAAGTGTTATGCAACAAACGTTTTTTTAAATAGGCTATTTCAACGAGGATTTTGATACTCATATTATTTCATTGTTAGGGGATGAACTGACTTTGATGTCTTTGAAAATTTTATTTGAGAAGAACATTCATGTGCTAATTGATTTACGATGAAGTGAAGTATTTAAAATTGAATCAAACATTTCTTACTTATCTATCAGTTTTAGCGATTAACTTCATTTTTACCGATATGATCTTCAGCTTTACGGCGTGTGGAAAACGAAACAAAAACTAAATAACATGTTTAACATGTATTTTGGCAATTATTATATTGAAAAAGCCTATAGATAATCAATTTAAAATAATGCAATTATTATATTGAAAAAATATAGATAATCAATTAAAATAAATGCAACTTGATTAAATTATTTTTCGTCAGATTGACTTGCCTGACTGTAGTGAAATCTCTGTTTGACATATTCATTCCTTATTTAGCACCCAAGATACATCTGAAGATTATTCACCAAGAACTCAATCTCGATGAGCAAAGTTCCCTGATCCATCTGAGCTCATCAGCCTGATCCATACTGTAATGTTACAGGTTATCAGGCAAGTGAAGTCTAAAAGGTAGGGTGGATGTTTCCGAGTGAAGCTAATTTGTAAGATACTGACATGCATCATGAACACATGCGACGGTCTTAATAGTTAAAGTTGTGTCTTTGTAATAGCCATTCCTGGTGCTCATATAGAGGTGGGGAATCTTCGTATTACATAAGAAATTCTATTTTTTGTGAAGTGTTAAAAGGATGTACTAGAAGCACTTGTGAACATAAAACATTAGGTTTAAACAGTTGTTTAACATTGAAAACTGAGTTGATATAATATTATCAGTTAGTGTTATCTATTGCAAACATCGAAAATATGAGCTGTATACTTGTATTGTTGATTAGATAGTAGGTGTATAGCAATTTACAGTACAAACTTCCATGTATCGGAAGTCGAGGGGACTTCTGAAAAAACTTTGATAGCATCGGGTCTTCCACTCTATGATTTTTCAAGAATCTTCGAACAACTTCTCACATTGTATATGTCTACTTCATTATATATGGGTTGAGTGAGGTTATTAAGCAATTTGTGTGTTAGTTTCTTTTTGATCTTAAATTGCATAGTGATATTACGGACAAACAACATATTAATACAGAAATTTAAAAATACTAAAAAGCAATAGATACACAAATACATCAATGTATCTTAGTCTCCAAAATATTGCAGTTTTATTCTACAAAAGAAAACTAACTTTCAGTTATACGATGCAAAGCCATAAACGAAACTGAAAGTAATTTAAATAGCACATGCAACACCATTCTATAAGAATTAATGATTGATTATTATAGAAAAATAAATTTGCTTGATGTTGTTATTAATTGTTTACATCTAAAATCGCAGGCTAATATACAATTGCGAGTAATAATACAAGTAAACAAAACCATGTTTAAAAAAAAGTTTGGTTTGTCTTAATTGGGTTGTGTTTGCAAACATCTACCAAGCATACATAGCTTCTATGTTTATAACACCTAACCCTTCAATGATGACTCGTTGACAGGTTTTCTGATATGCAATGAGCATTGATTACACGAGTAGTCTGAGTTGTGAAAATGTGTCTTGGATTATGAAGTAACTATTCAACATTTTTCAAACTTTGATACATTTGCGGTAAATTTTGTTTGCTTTTTGAATATGTTATCGTGATGCGGTCGGCTGAAAAAAACTTCAATTACATTTGAAAAATAAGTATGAAATTTGTTTTCATAAAAAGTTCAATAGCATTCGTATAGAGAATAAATTTAACATTGGGGGATTTATATAGGTGTAGAAATGTTGGTTGCTTTTTTGAAAAACTTCGTCACATTGAGAAATATTCGACACGTCGAAGTTTTGATATATGGAAGTTCTACACTAGTAGTAGTATGTTATATGCTAGTCCGTTTATTTAATCGCTTTTGTAACAGTATCGTAACAAATCAGTGCTGTTTTTTAACTCAGAGCTGAGCAGCAAAAGTGCTACAAGAGATAGAGAGACTTGGGTCTGTTGATAGCTTATTTATGTCATGTTTGGCACCGTTGGACAAATGTGTGCGTCTGCACAACATTTATACTGTGTCATCACACAATAGAGGTCAATTAATTTTTCATCATATCAATATGGACATGTGGTGTGGATATATGTCTTGATGAAAAAACTAGATCAAAGTATCCAAATATGGAAAAATATCTTGTCATATTGATAGAGGTCACATTTTGCATCGCAAGGTCATCATGGAGCATATTTGTGACAAATATGTGTAATGATGAATTCTAAATCCAAAGTCAGAAACTAGGTAACGTAGTCCTTTAATATAGAAAAACCTTATAACCATTCTATAGGTTTATGAAGATTCCTATTGTGTTGAGCAATAATAAGCATGATGTCTCAGGTGAGTGATTCAGGGCCATCATGGCTGCTCTTGTTTATATTATTGTTCAGAGACTGTAAATTTCTATTGGGGTAATCCTAAATCTTGAGACAAGGCAGTATTGACATGAGTGTTAACTTGTTATATGTTACATAGTCTTGTTTTCTTAATTTCAGAAACCAGACAGGTACTGCAAGTTTTGTGACACGGTCGTGAAAGGTGGAAAGTTGAAAAGACATATTCAGAGAAACACCAAAAGTGACATACCAGATACACTCTGCAAGGAAAATTGAGAAACATATCTTTGGACAGCTGAGAAAAGAAGGAATTCATAAATCAATACAAAATTAATGTGCAAAAATGAACGAACCCACAGCATGAGAGAGCGGAGGCCCCTTATAGAAACAAGTCTAGGTTTTTTGTATTGAATGTAAAAGGGAATATTTCTCCAAATAAGTATTTCTTTCGCCACAAATGTGGTCAGTCATAAAGCCATCTCTTTGAAACCAAAACTCGTGTTGTCAACAACAATGCAGCAGATAAAGAAGGATAAACAATTTCTTGACCTTCTAAACAGATTCCAAAGATAACTTTGTTGGAAACTTATGCAGAACAGATGAAACTATACGATAGTAGTGGGCTATAGGCATTTTCAATCTTAGAAGGCATGAGGAGGGCAAAATGAAGATGAAGTCAGAAAAGTAGTTATGTCAGAGATGCGAAATCTAGCTCGACTGTATTCTGAATTCCAAGGAAAATGTGGTGGCAAAACAGTTGAAGACATGTTATCGAGAAAACATTTGGAAGATCTGTGCTCAGCAATAACAACATTGACAACTGAGGATAAATCTGAAAAGCATGGTTCAAGACAAAATTTTTGATGCGGTAATACTGAATTCTGTTAAGACTTTGACAGGTTATTTTTCCAGTATTCAGGAAGATGCAAAAGAAAAAAGAAATGAAACATTTTTTAGAAGCTTATAAACACAAATCAAAGGAGCTTATTCCAAAAGCTAGACAAACTTCAATACAAAATTCATTTGAAAAGGCAAGAAGACCAACTAATTTACCACCAGAGATGGAACTAAGAAATTTAAAAGTTTCATTGAAAAATGAAATAGATCGAATTACAACAGACTTTGATGTAGCTAATTACGCTTATCTTAGAACATTAGTTGTTGCTAGACTGACTCTGTTCAATGCCAGGCGTGGAGAAGAAGCTTCTAGGTTACTCCTTAAAGAATGGTATGATGCCTTAAATGACACTTGGCTTCCAGAATCTGAGATTGACAAAGTAGATGATCTGGGTGTCAAATACCTTCTTGGTAAATTCAAATTAGCCTACTTGCAAGGTAAAGGTAAAATATTTGTACCAGTTCTAATTCCTGTTGATACAATTCATGCAATCACCATATTGGTTGAAGAACGATCCACTTTTGGAATTGCCAAAGAAAACAAATTTGTCTTTGGACAAAAGAAAGAGCAGGAAACGGTACGTCTCATTGTTCTGGATGGCACGCTGTAAGTGAAGTGTGTACTAAAGCATGTGTCTCAGTTGGGGTGACTGCTACAAAAAATGAGGCATTAGAGCCCTCTACTTACTATGCCAGTTAAGATATGTCTGAAAAGGATCAGAAAAATATTTCTAGACCATATGGGCCATGGAAGACAGATCAATAAAGACAATTACCAGTGTCCGCAAGGAATAAGGACTGTCGCTGTAATGGGGGAAGTCCTCACAAACATTAATGATGGTAAATTTTGCTTTTTCCTTATAGTTTGCTTATTAGTATACACATAAGATGAATTAGCATTTAACAAATAATTTTAATTGTTGTTTTCAGCTTTATTTGATTCTATTTGAACTTAAACATAACAACTTTATTGGTATTTCTCAGTGATTCAGATTGGATTCATTTTTCCTAAGAGACAGACATACATCAAAAAAATGTAGTTCATAACTGATTGGTTGCTTTGCTTTGAAATTAGAGTGTTGGAATTGAAATAATAAGTTTCTAAAGAATGGTTTACGGTAAAATAACTGATGTTTATTTTTTTCTCATGAGGAATTATATATTGTGATATATTCTAATGCATTCGAACAAAAAAACCATGGGTTATTCTACCGTAAACCACTCTTGAGAAATATATAAAAAAGCGATGCAACTTAATTTATAATAAATAATGGTAATACTAATAATATTATAATAATAGATGGATAGACAGTTAACATTTCTATTAAAATATGTAATCTAATTATTTAATGGCTAGACCAATCAATCAATAACTAAAGAATGCTTAGACCTATAAAGTTCAAACTTTATTTAGAGATTGATCATGACTAGTAGATGACCCCTATTGATTTTGTGGTCACTATGTCAAAGGTCAAGGTCATAGTGACTTTGAAAGCCGAAACAGTTTCCGCTAAATAACTCAAAACTGCTTAGGCCTTTGAACTTTAATCTATATTTTGAGGTTGGTCATGACTAGTATATGATCTCTATTGGTATTGGGTCACTAGGTCAAAGGTCAAGTTCACAGTGAATTTGAATGTCTAAACAGTTTCTGATCAATAACTTGAGAATCCTTTGGCCTATGAACTTCAAACTTAATCTGTAGGATGATCTTGATCAATTAATGACTCTTAATTATTTTTGGTCAATAGAACAATGGTCAAGGTCACAGTGACATTGAATGTCAAAACAGTTTCCGATTGATAAGTACAGAATGCTTAGGCCTATGAACTTTTAACTTGATGTGGAGATTGGTAATGTTTAGTAGACGACCCTTATTTATTTTTTGGGTCACTAGGTTTTAAAGTCAAGGTCACAGGTTTCCGATTAATAACTGAGAATCCTTGGCCTATGAATATCAATATGGAGTTTGATCTTTTATAAGTAAATGATCCCTATTGATTTTGGGGTCACAGAAAAAGGTCAATGTCACAGTGACATTGAATGTCAGAACAGTTTCCTATCGATAAAAGAATGCTTTGGAAGACAGATGTCAAGGTCACAGTGAAATTTTATTTCAGTACAGTTTCTTATCAATAACTTGAGATACTACAATTTCTATGAATTTCTATGGTGATTAGGTCATAGACCAACAAAAAGCTTCTTTATATGAAAAATTAATTGCAATAATAGGGGCATACATGTTTTACAAACATCTCTTGTTTAGTCTTATTCTGGAACCAATATGGCCTTCAGCTTCCCCAACCAACTCTCCCAGAATCCCTTCATGGCTCGAGTGTTTTCGGTAATTTCCTTAAGGGCCTCTTTGGTCCAATGGTAGACTCTGAGTCGACCTCTTGCCCTTCGACTGGAGTCTTTGTCAGATTTTTGCCAGTGATGGGTTGGGTAGATAGATGGTTCTTTCTAAATGACAATGGCTGTCAAAAGCTTTAGGCAGACTGGGAATCTGTACCCTCTCTTCAGGAGATAGTTCAAACATGGCTTTCAAACTGTCTACCTGATGGTGTGTAGGGTCAGTAGGGCAGCACCATTGCAACAAAGCTGTCACAGCATGTAACTATTATTATTATTATTATTATTATTATTATTATTTATTATAAATACAGTTGCATGATTTCTATTCTGATATTCCTATTTTAATTTTTAACTGGTGAAAGAAATCACTAATAATATTAAATAATCTTGACATACCAACTACCTATTTTACTAATATACTAAATCTTGGTAATTTGACTAAACCACCATCACCCAAATTTTAAATGTTTACTGTTATTGTTCTTTAAGAATAAAGTAACATTTGTAAATGTCATTTGTGTCTTAAATATTAAATTAAGGATTACAAAATATAAAGTCCAGAGACATTTTTGGTGATTTAGGACAAGTTTTTTAGACCTCGAAAAAAATGTTCAAACGTTTTTTAGTAATTTAGGACAAATGACCTGAAAAAAATGACCACTTTGGACATTTGTCTTAGGAAAAATGAATCCAATCTAAATCACAGTGTCAATTTCTTCAGGTGCATACCATAGTTCTGTACTGCAGTCTGGAAAGTTACTCCCAAAATCAAGCTCAAGCAGTAATACACAGCTTGATATTTCAGCTTCTGCAAGTGAGTTACAATTCTGATTGTTACATGTCATTTAGAAAATTTATTATGTACTATTTTGTTGATTTTGTATTGAGTATTCAATACATATAATCTAATTTTGTAGTTGCTGGAATTTATTTGTTCACTGACAAGAGTGTTTGCAAAAGAGCTGCTCAATATTTATGTCTCCCCCACCTCGGTGGGAGACATATTGTTTTTGCCCTGTCCGTCCGTCCGTCAGTCCGTCCGTCCGTCAGTCCGTCAGTCCGTCCGTCCATTCTTCGTTTCCGGACGATAACTAGAGTTCCTTTTGACCTACAGCTCTCAAACTTCATAGGATGAATGGTCTTATTGAGCAGATGATCCCTATTGTTTTTGGGGTCAGTAGTTCAAAGGTCAAGGTCACAGTGACCGTTGGTCAATTTCTCGTTTCCGGATGATAACTAGAGTTCCTTTTGACCTACAGCCCTCAAACTTCATAGGATGATTGGTCTTATAGAGCAGATGATCCCTATTGTTTTTGGGGTCAGTAGGTCAAAGGTCAAGGTCACAGTGACCGTTGGTCAATTTCTCCATTTCCATTCCTGTTTCCATTCACAGTTATTCTCAGCAGTGGGGGAGACATGCGCTTTTTTACAAAAGCATCCTCTAGTTTGGCTTTGTACTGATAATTCATTTTTTACAAAATAATAGACATTCGTTTTGGCTTCAACAAATTCTGATCATATGCAAATGCATAGAGCATCAACTGCAGATTGCTGTGTTTTGTATATTATTCAGTAAATGTGATAACATATCAACTTTTGCACTATTAGTAATGTTTGCTTTCAATTTCTTTTCTATTTTCATCAGTCATACATATATGGAAATAAATTTTATGAATGATACAAAAATTCGGCAGATTTAAATTAATTAAAAAGAATATTTATATGATTATAAAAAACTGTTCCTCTATATTCAAAAGTTATATAATGTAAACATTTTCCAGATGATGCAACTTCAACAGTGAAAGATGTGGTCAAGTGTAGCATATCCAGTCAGCAAGGTTTGTTAATACTGTAGGTTGTTCTTTTAGATGAGGTTTTAATCGGTCACAAATGAGGTACAAATGTATATCATCTGATCAAATCTCAGAAAAAGTTGTAACAGTTTAGCTTTGTTGAGTTTAAATTAAAGCTCAAGATAAGATGATATTGCAAGTACTCTGTTGTTTTTTGCTGCTTTTTGTGTCGCTTGCATCAGAGTTGTGGCAACATATGGGGATCACTTTTCCTTCTTCCCTTTGTCTGTCTGCCTCTGTCTGTCTATCGCAAAACTTGTTCGGACTTCTCCTCAGAAATTACTGGTGCAATTTCAACCAAACTGTACAGGAATGACCTGTATCAAGTCTAGTTGTGCATATTATAGGCATTTTCCAATTCCATGATTTTAATCAGAGTTTTTGCCCTTTAAAGATTTATTTTTTTAAGTTTGTCTGGACTGCTTTTCTTATTCTACTGGCACAACTTGAATTATAATTTACAGGATTGATCTGTAGTTCAAGTATTTGCACATATATATCTTGTTTTTTGTTTGGATGATATATGGCCAATTTATAGCCCTTAAATAAAAAAAATTAAATCTTTTTCTATATGTTAAAACTTACAAAACTTGTTGAGACTACTCCTCAGAGACTACTGGTGCAATTTCATCCATACTTTACAAGATTGATAAGTACCAAGTCTAGTTCAGTGCAAATTGGTTGGCATTGACGGCTTCAGTGCTAGGAACTTCAAACTTGGTATGGTGATTGGTCATGACCAGCAGATGACCCCTATTGATTTTGGGGTTAAGGGGTCAAAGGTCAAGGTGACATTGACTTTGTAGGTAAAAACGGTTTCTGATCAATAACGAAAGAACCCTTAGGCCTAGGGACTTCAAACTTGATATGGTGATTGGTCATGATCAGTAGATGACCCCTATTGATTTTGGGGTCAAGGGGTCAATGGTCAAGGTCACATTTACCTCTTAGGTAAAAACGGTTTCCAATCAATAACTAAAGAACCCTTAGGCCTAGGAACTTCAAACTTGGTATGGTGATTGGTCATGACCAGTAGATGACCCCTATTGATATTGGGGTTAAGGGGTCAAAGGGCAAGGTCACATAAAATGCTTTCAAATCAATAACTTAAGAACCCTTTGGCCTAGGAACTTCAAACATGGTATGGTGATTGGTCATGACCAGCAGATGACCTATTGATTTTGGGTCAAGGGGTCAAAGGTTAAGGTCATGACCAGTAGATACTTGATAACCCTTATTAATTGTTTGATCACTGGGTCAGAAGTCATGCATAATAACCTTATCACATGACTAATTGGCTGCTGATAGGGGGCATACATGTTTTACAAACATATCTTGTTTTATAATAATATGAAATTACAGCTTAATTTTTTTATTCCTCTACATCTAAATGCATTGGTTAGAACATTCTGTATCAAATTTAGATAACCTTTTATAGGTTGCACAAAGTGTATAGAACAAAACCCAAATGCAAAGCTTCCAATAAAGTGTTTTTGTTTCTTAGCTTATTAAAGCTTTTATATGATTGGTTTCAGTGATAACTTTATAACCAAATAAATCTAATATCCACTTTTTGAATTCTTTTTCAGGCAAGAAAGAGATAATGGAATTTCTGTCTAAGTTCAAGCCAACATCTATTTGCCATTTAACAGAAAAAGAACAGTATTTCAAAATGAGAGCAAAACTTTTCAATGAAAGGAAAACCTGTCGTGAGATGGTGAATAATAAAATGAAAAAAATTGTGTGTTCACCAAATGAAAAAGATAAATATTAATTGATGAATATTAATTGTAACATTTTCAATGGAATTATTGTTTCAAAAGTGCAGTGTAATTTCCAGTGACCTATGACGGTTATTAAAAACTAAAACTCAATATTCTTACATGTTTTAGTTATGATTTTTGTCCTTTTTAAGCTTGTTTGTTTCGTCAATTTTGGTCCATATAATTCTCAAACCACCTTCCACATAAAATGTTTAGAACTATTGACAAAAGAGCATGGTGTAATAAGGTTAAAATAGTTACTTTATCATATAAAAGGCACATCAACATAAAAATAATATGGCTTTCATTTAGGTCAAGGTCACAATCCCAAGATTCTATTTTGATGGAAATATACAAATGAATATCAATAGAAGATGTTTTGTGCATTGCTATTTGGCAAAGTGCAGTGTGCATGAATCAATGGCTAGGTCAAAGGTAAAGGTCACACTTTCAAGTTCAATTTTGAAAAAAATGGACATAAACAGCCTATCCAGATAATTAGTTCTGTCTTAAGATTAGCGAATTTAAAATAACTTTGCACAAATATCGCCAATTGGCATTGGGAAACAAAGCGCATGGTTAGGTCAAATGTGAATTTGCAAGCAGCAGGTTTTTTTGGCGTATAACTTAATCATTCTGACAGAATGACTTGAACTTTGGTATGCATGTGTATTGCCATGAGGCAAAGTACAATGCGCATGAACTGTATGACAGGGTCAGAGGTCAAGGTCACACATCAGGGTCATATGTGAAAAAAATGGCCAACAACCGCTTGTTCGGACCACTCTCTCTTTAAATGGGAAAATTTAAAATAACTTGGCACAAATGTTTGCCATCAAGAGACGGTGAGCAATGCACAAGAACCATGTGACAGTAATTCAGTCAATAATTTTCCTGTTGTCATTAGGTCTTTGTTATGGAAGAAGTTTTTAAAACATAGCTACCCTTTCCCAAAAGCTTTCATGACTGGTCTATTGTGCTCTCCCATGAGGCACTCTTGTTATGTTTAATTGTAACTGAAGCTTTTTGTTTGAAACCGTAAGTGCTAAACCTTTTGGAACAAATGCATACTCATTTTTACGCAGAATCCTTTTGTTTAATGATTATATGTACATGCCTGAAGTGAGCAATGCAGAGTTTTAAAACCATCTTTGTTTAATTTATGTAATGAGGTATTTTTGACAATTATAAGGATAACAATTCAACATGGATTTACACAGGTTTTGCCTAGTGTCCTGAAGTATTGCAGAAAAGGTCCCCTTAAAGCATGTTTCTGTCTTTAGCCAAGGTCTCCTTAATGCATATATGGTATGTATATAAATATATAGAAGTGGTCTCCTTAAAACATGGTTTATACATTGTAATTATTAAGGAGACCAATATTTTTGTATATTTTAATGCTGTGTGTTGTTCAGTGTGAAAATAACATGTGTGCATCATTAATGCAAATACAGTGTGAAAATACTAAAATACTCTAGGTGACACCAGAAATAAATTATATACAAAAAGTCCCCGTAATGCAGATACAAAAAAATTGTCTCCCTTTTGCAGTATTCAGGGTTATATATATATATATATATATATATATATATATATATATATATATATATATATATATATATATATATATATATATATATATATATATATATATATATATATATATATATATATAAAGGGAGATAACAAACTCTATAACTCTATATATGTGAATGTTGAGCTTGTTTCAATGTGTAGTGCAGTTTGTGACTGTATATAAAGCTGTTCTGAAACCATCATTTTTGTGATGGTGGATGAGCAGTGGCTATGCTTTCATGACTGTTCTGCTAGGCGCTGTGCCGTAATTGGACTGGCATATCGATGTGGTGGTATGTGTGTATATATTCTCTCATTTCTCCTGACCCAGATGTTCAATTGAGCAGAACAATTTTAACAATTTTAGTAGAGCTTCATGCTAGGAACGTCCCAGGAAATTTTAATCAATTTGGCCAAGTGGTTTCTGAAAAGGATAGCTTAGGTGAGCTAAAAATGAGTGCAAGAGTCCACGAAGTTTTTTAACATACCTCACCTCGTAAATGAAATTCTTCTCGTAAATAATATTGACATTAATTACACTTCTCATTAACAATGCATATTGTACAAATTGCAACTTTAAATGGATATTGAATTATTATACATTTCGGACTATAATAAATCAACTGAACTGCAACTCTATATTTTATCAGAATAGTATTGTTAAATAGATTACCGTACAATTCAAATCATGTAATGTATTTATAACAGTACAGTGTATATCAATATAGCAGTATGTTGGCATTTAATAGGCACATCAAATATTTTAGTAGCAGACATATCTATACAAGAAACACGATCAACTGTTCAATTATTTGTGTTCTAGGTAACGTCATATGTATGTAAGCAAGCATTTCTTGATAGCCTTTATACTTACTCGTTAAGAATGTTTAATAAAGCATCCATAAAATGAATGCCCATTTACAATATGCAGTAAATTTTATGTGAAGCGAAGGACTTAAGACAAACTATTTTATATCCGATTTCCCCGTTAAAAAACAGCAGAAACGATACAAATAGTAATGCGGTAATTTACATAGGAAAAACGGTAACATGATTTAGTTGTTACTTGTTTAAAAGCTATATTTCGAAATGTTGTAAAATTGTTAACACATTTGTGATTATGTACATGAAATTTATGATACTTAATCATTTTAATAATACACATTTAAGCTTCCAAGCAAACAATAAATAGTTTTAAACATGCTATAATAGGTTCATGCGTGACATACTAATATTCAATTATTTTCAGCGTGTGTGTGCGCTTCATATTGCATGGCGGAGGAACTCATACGAAATATAGGATACTCTTACATTGATTAAGATAAGAAACAATATTGCCGGTGAATGATACAATTAACGTGTATGACACTGTCATTCAAAAGGCAATAGCAACAATGGATACTGCATCATTGATTCTCCTTTTTAAATGTATATCATCATTTATCTTATAAGAATATCGGATAAAGTTTGCTTAAACAAATGTTGTTTCACGTTATAACGCTTTTTGATTGAATAATTACGCTTTATGGTTTGAATTATTATATATTTTGTTTCGCATTAGTACGCATTTGATTACGCGTTATTTGCCTTTTGTTTCGCGTTTTACTGCGTTTTGTTTCACGGTATAATGTATTTCAACTCACGTAATTACACTATTTGGTTAACGTTACGTCACATTTTGTTTCTTGTAATAACGGCTTTTTTTCGCGTTTGAACACTTACAATCACAATAGTTATGGTTTATTTTCTTCTCTTTTAGTCTCGTTATTCTGCCTTTTTGCGTTGCTATGCTTTTTGTGTTGCGTAATTTCGCCTTTTGATTCGCGTTACATTCCCTTTGCAGTATTACTTATTGTA